CAAATCGATCATATATCAAACCCAATAAAAATTGATTTAAACCAGCCGGTTTTATCAAAACTGATGACCCATCATCAAAATCGGTGGGTCATGCATTTTTATTAAAAAAAAAACTAAAAATCAAAGTAGTCTAAGTCTTGTCTTAAAAAAATGTGTAACTTTTTTCAAAATTTATTATGGTTTAGTTTGCTAGCAGTATATTTTCTTAGGATAACCTCAAATTTTAACTTCAAAGACTGAAACAATTTGTGAAATATTAAATTAAAAGAAGGTGACATATATTGATTCTCGTAAATCCATTTTTATGAAAAGTGTTATTGGTAAATACCTTATAATTATTAAACATAGTTATATGCGATAACTTAATACTTGAATTTTTTTTTTCTTTTACAATATACTATATATGATTATCATATATGACTTTTTTTTATCCCTATAAAAATTATATATGTTTGTAGCCTTGCATGATAATTTTTTACATTTATTTAAATATTTTTATGCATTTTTATATATAAAATATATATAAATTTTTATATATTAAGTCAGGTTATACGATTTAACCAACAATCTATAGATTGAACTAATAATCCAATATTCCGACAAAGTCAATAACCAGATCGATTCTGATAATCTTGGTCTTACCTATTTAATGTTTAGAAGAGAAACATAATTACATAATTTAACATAACTTATGAAGCAGAGAAGTTACTCACAGCTACGAGAAAACTTATTATGGACCCGGTCCATCATTATTAGGTGGTTTTTTTTTTAAATTGAAAATTTTGTATGACATTTTTACTTTTATTATTTTGCTCATTTTTCTCTATATCCTGATTTTTATTTTTATTTTTGGACAAGGTACACATGCACCCTGTTCAGACTAACTTTTCTCGCTAGCTACACAGTCTGTTGTAAGTTGTAAGTGCTCCAATTGACTGAACTGTACCTTAGCCTACTTTTAGCTTTCTTGTATTTGTGTATCAACAGAAGCTATATATCTAGCACTGCTCTACGAAACTTTCACTTTTGTAATTTCTCTTGCTTCAATAATGAGAAACTTTACACTATTTCTCTCAAAAGAATAATAAAGTCATGTGAAAATTGCTTACAAAAAAATAATAATAAGTGTTGCGAACTCGGCAAGTGCACTGGCCGTACAAGTAATAAAGTGATAAAAAAAGTTATCGATCTCACGAGGACTGCTGACCAATCAATAATTTATCTATTTAACTAAAGTTGGATCGATCGTGAAAGGAGTTCTTTGAGAATGTTGTAATTAAATTAAAACAGAATTTTAAACTACTTATTTTTAGTTTTAAATATTTTAGAAAATAAATTTAGGATTAATAAATATAGAAATTGGGTTTAAGTTTTCAATAAAAAGGCGTAGCTAGGATTCAACTTCCCCAATGGTTTCTTAACGAATTTGCCTATACTTACGATTACATTCAAGATCAAATTATTAACAATTCTTTCTATGATTGATTAAATCTCAATCCCTTGGTAATCTAATCGTTTATTCTAATCCAAAACCTAATCCCTTAGTACTTTTTCATAAAATAAGCATTAACGCCAGAACCTACAGTTATAGAATTCATAAGTCTATCCCTAGATCATACAAATTCCAGCAATCAATCAATCGGAATCATACACCAACATCTTTATTGTCATGCACGACTCTAATGCTCATTCAAGACTGGCCAGATCATAAATAAGACTAATCATAAATATCAGATTGGCTGCATAATTCAAAAACAAGAATGTAATTCATAAGAAATAAGCAAATATCAACTAAGAACCCATTGGTTCTGTCTCATCCTAACTACTAACAAGTAATTTAGCCATGCATAATTATAAAGACAGAATTAAAATAAATTGTAAAAGAAATAAAGTTCATGGTAAAACTTGTTTAACAGTGATGATCAATGATGCAGAATTGACTCATCCTTTCTCCTCTGCAACGCTCCAGTGTTCCTCTTCCGCTCCTTCCTTCGCTTCGTCTCGGTCTCTGACTTTTCCCTTCGTGTTCCAGAATGTCCTCACGGCTTTGCACACGTTGTATTTAAAGAAATAAAATGTGGGCTTCAATTTCTAGACTCGCTCGCTAAAGCGAGTTGCTCAGCGAGTAAATATTCTCCTCCTCGTTCACTTGCTCGTTGATGCGAGCAGTGAAGCGAGCTTGACCAAAATAATTTCTTTTTACTTATTTTCGCTTCATATCTTCGGATTGCAAGAGCTTTGGTCGTTATCAGATTAGTATTTTGTTATTCTTTTCTCAAACAACCTGAAACAATAACAAATATTAGAATCTTATCTTTTTGTTGGCAATCTACTCTCTTTTATTATTTTATTATTTAACACTATATTTTTAATTATTTTAATTATTATTTGAACTCTTTTTAACCCTAAAAACATAGTGTCTTGGACACTTATCAATAAGTCACGTGAAAATTGAATATATGAACGATCAATTTCCATCAGTTAAGAGAGAAAGAGAAAACAAAATAAGAATGGATGGTTAATTTGTGATTTGTACCAAATGGTGGTAGCTCAGTTGGCGTATGGGAGCTAAACAAGTGGGAATGATGGCATGTATTCGAATTTCCCCCGTACCACTTTTGGAGGGGTTTAAAGTCTTAATTCTAAACCTGCCCCGAATCGGATTAGTTACGAAGCAATAAACCGATTGAAATATTTTCAAAAATAAATAAATTGTAATTTGTGACTTTGTGATCTGTGACGTTCTTGTAAACGCACTCTTTTTTTTTTCTTTTTAAGTTTAAATAAAATTAGATACCGATATTTTATTAGAATAAAAAAATCCTTTTAATCTCTTTGCAAATTTCCGACAATAGAGTTTGAACAAATGTTTTTATGAAATATGAACCAAAATCTTAGTCGATTCTGCTCTCACTTTTATTGACTTAGATGCACTCTTTGCATATTAAGTCGTTATCATAAGTCCACCTGTGGTAATTAGAGTAGTGTTTGGTTGAAGGTTTATTTTAGGATTGATGAGAAAGTGTAGATGGATATTGGAAAATACCACGTTTGGTTCGGGTTTTATCAAGAAATACCAGACAAATAGGATAGATGGGAAAATGACTTTTGTGTTGATTTTTTGGATGAAATTCACTGTTACAGAATATCACTTGAGATGTGGTATTTTGAGATGACTGAGGAAGTGAAAAAACAGGTGCAAAGTTTCTCCCGAACATAGATTTTGCATATTTAAATAAATTTTCCTGGTAATATTTGGGTCAACCAAATAACTTTTTTTACATTTTCCTATCAAACTCACTTTCCAACCATTTTCCTATCAATTATATTTTCCTAGTAAAAAAAAATTTCTCCTAAACCAAACACTAGCTGGTGACACTTGGACATGCTAGTGACGATGCCATCAACTCCAGATTTTCATACACATTCATGAATTTGGAAGAATAGGTCAAATTTACTTTGGGTTCGATTGCTTTTCCGACACGAGAAAACATGTCAGCTGTAATATCTGAATTCTGAGCCGTATCTGAATAGGAGTGAAAAGTAGTTATATGGTCATATTATTTCATTGCAATTATTTATTGACGATGAGATAAAAGAGAAAAAATTATATAATTTTTAAATAAGTGATTGTGATCAAATAATATGATTATATAATTATTTTTTCACATGAGATGATTTACTTCTACAAAAAAAAATATTGAATCCAGAAAATTAAGGAAATATGTGAAATTATATATAACCATTCAGAATTCTTTTTTATTTCCCAAAAAAAAAGTAATGATTGAGATTATGATAATATACATGTACATACATAACTAAATGATGCAGATGTTAAAAAAATTTCTAATTAACATTCTGACTTTGAATATTTTTAAATATACCTTTATTATTAGGTGAATTCTCTTACTGACCTCTTGCTGATCCAAGAAAATAATTTAGACGCACTCTCTATTCGTGAATATAGAATAGGATTTTGTAAAATAGTAACAAAATTATTATAAAAAAAAAAAAAGCACCACAAATATGCAAACTAGCATTTCTCTCCGATGCCAATACCAAGGGGTGGGGCCAAATTATAGGCTCTGAAAATGTTAATAACGAGAATTCGATGAGAAAAGTCTCTCCACAAGGTTTTACTTTCGAATGAATGATTGAATTTACATCCACCAAACTTAGGGAATACAAAAAAACAATAATGTATCCAAAAAAAGAAAATAATAATAATAAGACAGGCACCTAGTTACGATACAATAGGGTAGGGGTCTGCATCCTTGACCAAACGACCAAATATACCAGGTCCCGTACTATTCCCTCTTTCTACGAAGGAGATATAAAGAAGAAAAAAAGACATAGATATCCTGCCGTAAGAGATGTCTTATGATGCTTCTAAGTAAAGCTGAGATCGTCAATAACATACATTTCTGCTCACTGACTTTTTCTAAAACAAGGGGTATATGTAGTAATTATACTAGCTAAAGGGGAAAGCGAAAGCGAAAATAATTCGTTAGTTTAAGATATCCAATGTCAAAGATATTGATTTATTCTTTTACTTAGATGTTACTTGTAACTAGAGGTGGCGGCGGCTCCCCTGTCCCACCATCAACCACTTAAAAAATGAGTCAGCTCGTCTCGTCCCGCTTTTGAAAGTGGGTTGAAAAACTCAGCCCGTCCCGCCCTGTTTGGCTGGTTAGGCGGGTTGTCCGCCAGCCCAAGCCTATTTTACACTGACCCGCCTCGGTCCGCCTATGCCCGCCATCAACCCGTCAAAAAATGAGCCCGTCCCACTTTTGAGATGGGTTGAAAAACTCAGTCCACTCCGCCCCGTTTGACGGGTTGGGCGGGTTGACGCGTAGAACCGAGCCCGTTTTGCCTCTCTAGTTGTAACCATCTAATGTCAAAGATACATGCATTTGGGAGTAAAGTAAAATTATTTTTAAGGAGGTTCTCCCGGGTGATCTCTCACACAGAAGCACAAACCTCAGACAAGTAGGAGATTGATGGAAAATCAAAGTTACCGGTTGGTTCTAATACCACCTCCATTTCAGGGTCACATAACACCAATGCTTCAGCTAGCCACCATCCTTCATTCAAAAGGGTTCTCTATCACCGTGGTACTAGTCCACTTCAATTCCCCTGATCCTTCTAATTACCCTAACTTCAGTTTTCTACCTTTATTCGATGGTTTATCTGATATTCACATCTCCTCCACAAATTTTATAGATATTACTTCAACCCTAAATACCAAGTGTATACCTCATCTTAAGGAATTATTAGTTGATCAGATGAAGAAAGCAAATGCAAAACATGAAAAGATTGCCTGCATCATTTATGATGGATTATTGTACTGTATCGATTCTGTGGCCCGAGAACTAAAGCTTCCCAGCATAGTCTTCAGAACCACCAGTGCTACTAACTTACTCACTTATCATGCATTTGCTCAGCTACAAAGCAACGGTTACCTTCCCGTGCAAGGTATTATTATTATAAATTCATATTTCTACCTCGCCAATGATAAAACTTCATAGTTTTTATGCCTGGTCACAAATATTAAAAAATTAAAAATTTAAGAATCTAGGCATATTTATTTATTTATTTATTATTGATTTATTAGCATGTAATCAGATAGTCAGACTCTGACTAATATAAACCCTTCCCCTGCACAGAGCTCGTAAGTGGTGATATATAGCACCAGGTTACTTTATGTTACAATGAACAAATAAATTGAAGATAAAAAAGAAGAGTTGAGTAACTGAAATGACTAATTAACATTTTGCATGGCAGATTCTAGGTCGTGTGACTTGGTGCCAGGACTTGATCCACTGCGATTCAAAGATCTACCCATTTTTAATTCAACAAATCCAGATGTTTTTCTTCAGCAATCGGCAAAAACAATTGCTGTAACACCTTTAGGTGTTATTTGCAACACTGTGGATTGCCTTGAAGAGTCATCCCTGGATCAGCTCCGACAGCTATACAAAGTCAGTCTCTTCCCCATAGGCCCCTTACACTTGATTGCTAAAGATTCCTTGATCAGTAATAGCTTTATGCGAGAAAATTATAGCTGCATAGATTGGCTCAACGACCAAGCAAGAAAATCTGTGCTGTATATCAGTTTGGGAAGCATTGCTAGCTGGGACGAGAAAGAGCTAACTGAAGTAGCTTGGGGCTTGGCCAATAGCTGGCAGAATTTCCTTTGGGTTATTCGACCAGGGACCATTAATGATGTTTCTGAGTGGCTAGAATCATTGCCTGAAGATGTCAAAGTAGCAGTAGCAAAAAGGGGTTGCATTGTGGAATGGGCACCCCAAGATGAGGTTTTGGCACACCAGGCTGTGGGAGGGTTTTGGAGCCACTGTGGTTGGAATTCTACCTTGGAGAGTTTGTGCGAAGGAGTACCAATTCTTTGCCAACCTTATTTTGGAGATCAGAGGGTAAATGCCAGGTTGTTGAGTCATGTATGGAGGGTAGGTCTAGAATGGTCCAATATCATAGAAAGGAATGAGATAGAAGGGGCAGTAAGAAGACTGATGGTGAATCCAGAAGGGAAGGAAATGGGGCAGAGAGCAGTAGAATTGAAGGATGAGATTAGGCTAGCCGTGAGAGGTGCTTCTTCCTACGATGCCTTAAATGGGTTGGTGAAGAGCATCATATCAGTGAATCTCTGATTTCACAGCAAAAAGTGGGGGCAGAAAAAGCCTTTGCTTATGGTATGTCAAGGGACAGCAGTATAAGGAGTAAGGAGGCTCGTGGTTGATAACAAGAGGAAAGAAATGAGGCAGAGGTCATGGTTCATGAATCTCAGTTATTTTTTTCTTTATTTCTTTTAGAGAAGTATAAAATGTTAGAAAATTATATTTGCTAATATGTTTGTAGGTTACATATATTTTATTAATAATTATATTATGATATTATGATATTGGTTAAATTAAAGTAATTAAATAAATATGCTCAAATAAATTCCTAAATAAGTGTGGGATAAATAAGTAGATATCAGTGTTAAGCCAACATGGTATAATGAGAGTTTACTGGCCCAACAATAAAGAAAATACTATAAAGAGTTATGGTCCCCAATATATCAAATAACAACCCCAGTTTCTCTTCCAATCAAGAAAGAAACAGCACACTTAAAGATTAGGGTTATTTGATTCAGATAGATCGCATATCCTAAAGGATAAGATCAAAGTTATTCCACTGTTATGGAGACAGATATGCCTCCACCTTTCCGTTTTATAATTTGGTACGATGTATCTTAGTTTATAGGTGATGGTTATCACTAGGGGTGTGCATGGAGCGGTTCATAACCGGTTTTGGCAAAATTCAAACCGAACCGGTTTGAAATGGTTTGGTTTTCAAACCGAACCAGTTTTTTTTTAAAAAAAACCAGTTTTTATTATCCAAACCAGTTTCAAAACCGGTTTATGGTTCATAACCGGTTTTGATTTAAAATCAATCAAAACCGGTTTTAAACCGGTTTTCATTCAAAACCGGTTTTAAATCAAAACCGGTTATGAACCATAAACCGGTTATCAAGTTCAAAACCAGTTTTTTAAAAAATTCAAAATTGATTTTTGATGGATTGTGCTATTTTTATAAGTAGTTGTTTGTTTCTCCCGGTTATAGGTAGTTGACCAACTATTTCTTTCAAGAATCTTCATTGTTTTGGAACTCCCAAGACGAAATGATTCTTATAGAAATTGTTTCACGTTATTTTTACGGAAAACATTTCCATCAAAACAAATTTTGTCGAATTTTTTTACGGAATATAAATTTCGTCAAAACTTTTTCCTCAAAATATTTCACAAAAAACATATTCATCGAAATTTTTGATGAAAAATATTTCTAACAAATTTTCACAAAACACATTTCCTTTGAAAACTTTTGACGAAAAATAATTTCATCAAAATTCTTTACAGAATTCAAATTTCGTCGAAAGTTTTCGACGGAGACATTTTCGTTAAACTTTTTGACAAAAAAATTTACGTCGAAATTTTAACGAAACCCATTTTCATCGAAAATTTTCGACGAAAAATATTTCCGACAAGCTTTTTGATAAAAAATATTTCCATCAAAAATTTTAACGGAACACATTTTTATGAAAAATTTTCGTAAAAAATTTTGACGAACAATATTTCGATAAAAATGTTGACAAAATGTTTTTCGTCAAAAAATTTGAGGGAAATGATTGGAGGGAATTTAGATTCCGTAAAGAACTTTGACAAAAAAAAAATTCATCGGAATTTTTTATAGAAATATTTTTCGTCAAAAAAATTTTCTGGAATATTTTTCGTCAAAATTTTCGCTCTAAATGTGTTTTGTTGAAAATTTTGCTGGAAATATTTTTCGTCGAAAATTTGGACGAAAATAATTTCCGTAAAAAAATTTGACGAAATTATTTTCAGTCAAATTTTTTTATGGAACTGTGTTTCGTCAAAAAAATTTACAGAATTGTTTTTCGTTGAAAAGTTTGATAGAATTGTTTCTGTCGAAAGTTTCGACGGAATTTAGATTCTATCAAGAATTTTGACTGAAATATTTTGTCTCTCAAAAATTTATGTGAGTGATTATGACAAAATCTTGTTCCGTCTCTAGTTTCGACGCAAAAAAATTTGTCTCTATTTTCTATGTAATATGATTTTTGTCAAAATTTTCGACGAAATATTTTTCTTCGATAAATTCTGCTAGTATTTGAGACTTTTCTAATAATGTCACATTTAAAAATGATTCATATTTATGTAGTTTTCACATTTTAATGTTAAGGATAAAAAATAATACTTGTTTGTTTTTTAATTGTAAAATAGTTTGGTTATGGATAACCAATTATTTTAAGGTTTGGTAAATAACCAGTTTATAGAATAAAATGCAGTTTCATATGAAATCGGTTTTTAAAAATAACCGGTTTTTAAAATGTGGAGCGGTTTGATTATGGATCGGTTTGGTTGTTTTGGACATTTTGAACACCCCTAGTTATCACCATAAGTTTTGGAAGAATTAATATTCCAAAAATTGTATCAGAGCATCATCATATTAAATCACGAAGGAATTAAGCTTTCTAATTTTTATATATAATGAATAATGAAAAGTTTTGTTTTATTGTCTATTAAATCACGAAGGAATTAAGCTTTGTGATTTTTATATATAATGAATAATGAAAAAGTTTTGTTTTATTGTCTTTTTGGCAATAGAGTTTTTTTTTTTGGTCTTTTTGTTTCTTTGTAAAATGTCTTGTTTTTGGGTCTTTGATTCAATCTTTATACATGACTTTAAATAGAAATAATAGTTGTGCATCAAGTCTCTTTCCAACCATATTTTGTATTAGCTATATAGTATTATGGGTTTAGTGTGTGTTTTTTTTAAAAGTATGAAGTTGTGTCTTTTTAATTTTTTACTCTTTTTACTCTCCGTAGTACATAGTTAATTATAACATAATTTTTTTTTTTCACTTTCTACATCAACTAATGTAATTGAGGAGAGAAAAAAAAAGTGACTTTTTATATTATAACTATGTACTATCGGGAGTACCTAGAATAAAAAAATTAAAAAGATATAATTTATATCCTTTTAAAGTATAAATAATTTTTCCTAATATTATTTTTGTTCCCTGACACTTGATTTTGGAACAAAAGTTACAATCTTTTGATTTTATGGACAAAAGTTACAATCTTTAGGTTTTGTGAACCACGGTTGCATTCTTTAAGAGTACCTTTTTTAATGGTGCTTTACCATTGTTTCCATTGTTTCGTCTCTGTACTGTTACTAAAGCTATCTTTTTGACATTATTCATGTTATATGAATATTATTGTTATGTTTAATAAAATTTCATTTTACCAATTAATGGATTTTTTGTGCATACGGTACTGGACACCCTACGAGGCAAAAGTTTAAGAGAGAGAAAAAAATGAGGGGAGAGAAAAGTTTTCTCTGCAGAAAACTCATTTTATTTTGTTATAACATGACAATCGAATTACCTTTTATTAATAGATGATTTTGTTTTGAATTTATAACAATAAGGATTTTTATTGTTAATAAAAAATAATTTTCTTTATTCTTATTTTTTTTAAATGAGTTTATTATCCCTATTTGAAATTAAATATAATAAATTTATTAGCCGCTAAAGTAGCTAAAATTATAAAGGTTAATTTGATTTCAAATAAGTTCATCATATAAATGTATATTATTTATGCGAATAATTATTGGCCCAGAGAATTGTTTGGACAAATAATATATGTTGTGTGATCATGTGCGTGTTTGTTACTTATGCAGATAATGATCGGCCCAAAGGAAGGTTATTATCCCGAAAAATTAAAATAAGTATATGAATATTACTAGAATAATATCTAGGTTAAGAATATCAAGTTTGGAGTCATAATATTGAGTTTTTATGTCAGAACTTATATCAGCTACGTATAAAATGCGTACCGACATAGTGCTGCGAAAATTATAATAAAAATATGATAAATCCTAAAAAAATGGCTAGGTTCAGAATATGAAGTTTGAGGTTAAAATAATTAGCGGAGCTATTAGAACTAATACTGACAGACTAGTTTAATGCGCCTATAAATACTAAAGGGCACAAAGCCCTAGGTCTGATTCCATATTCTCTACGTAGAGGCTCCCTTGCTGCTTTATTCTGAACTTTCTCCTCTTCTTGAAGTCTTGACCTTTATGCATGCAAATGAGCCAAAAACACACCCTTTTACATTGATTCTTCCTTTTGATCTTGTAAACACTGAGTAGTTAGCATTGTGAGGGAGAAATGTACCCAATTTCTGTGTTTACAGCCACTGAGTGTGAAAGTTGAGGGCTGTCCACTGATTTGTTAAGGTGAAAGCCATTTTCTTGCACATTGTTGGCTTCAAGAAGCCATCTTTTGGTATAAAGGGCCAAGCTTGAGGATCATTTTCGTGGTCTCACATTTGCTGCACAATGGAGTGAGATAGAAATCACCAAGTCACTTCCTTTTTCTGTTTCACAAGCATTAAGGTAACCTTTGATCATTTCCCTTGGAATTTTATGATTTTAGCTTGTTTAAGTCATTAAAAAAGGGAACTTTGATTATTCTAGTTAATGATTGATAATCTATGCCTAATAAGTGGTAAGGAACTTCTGTTTGTAGAGATATTGGACTCAAAATCGTTGGAGGACCCTTAAAATGGAGTTTATGCAAAATGTAAGAACCCGCACCGTTAATTAAGGAATTTAATTAATAAATTATGAGAAAATAGGAAATGATTCCATAATTGACCCTAATAATTATTATGAGGCTTTAATAATTATAGTAAGTGATTAATAATGCTGAAAGTCGCTTTTCGGAAGAAAAGTGCAGATACCGGTTCTGCTAGTCGCTATAAATGCGTACCGAAAAAGTATCCCGGAAAATTATAATAAGTGCATGATAATTACTAGAATAATATGTAGGACTTGTAAAACGAGTTTCAAGTCCAAATAATGAGAACTGATGCTAGAAATCGGTACTGGCTTTGAAAAGCGCGTACCGAAAAGGTGCTCAGAAAATTATAAGAAAAATATGATAATTCTTGAAAAAATGTGTAGTTTCAGATTCCAAAGTTTGGGATTAAAATTCTAAGCGTAGCAATTAAAGTTAATATTGTGTGTGAATTGGTTAAGTGGCTATAAATAGGCTTGGCACATGATCCTAGGTCATTTT